TCGATCAAAACTACTACCTCCCTCCCAAAGATCTTCCCCTTCACCTTCATCTTATGACTAGGATTGAATCCCATCACAGAATTGAGGGATACCTCGGCTACCTCCAACTGTGGATCAATCTGCTCCTCATCAGAATCATCACCCTCTTCAGGCGCCTCGTCTATATAGACGGTGAGAGCCCGAAGAGCGCGATCCTTGCATCTATGCCCTGGAACAAACTTCTCCTCACATCTGAAACAAAGGCCCTTGGCCCTCTTCTCCTGCATCTCCTCCTCAGTCAATTTCTTGAAACTTCCTGCAGTTCTAGTCACTCCGCTCTTCTCCTTTCCACTCTCTCTAGGGACACTAGGGCTTGGCCCTTTTGGAGCCAAGTAAGTGGTAGTGGTCCTGGTGGGACCTCCTGAGTGGTTGTTCCTCCAACTTCGAGCGTTGGTCTTCTGGTTCTCCACCAGCTGAGCCAACTCCATTGCCTCCCTCAGGTCTCTCGGTCTCATGACCTTCACAGCATCTCTAATTTCTGGCTTGAGCCCCTTCATGAAGTTTCCCCCCAACGTGCTGTTCGATAAGCCCTCCATGTCTCCCACCAGACTCTCAAATTTCTTTCTGTATTCCTCCACTGTTCCCTCCTGAGTGAGGGCATAGAACTGCTCGGAGATCTCCCATGGGCTGCTCCCCCTGAATCTCTCCCTGATAGCTTCCTTGAAGTCCCTCCAAGTCCTCACTGGATCCCACTTATCCATGTACTTGAACCAGGCAAAAGCCGCCCCTTCCAAGCACATACTAGCCGCCATCAATCTCTCCTCCTCCATCAGGCCATTCACTGCAAAATACCTCTCCACCTTGTGGATCCACTCATCCACATTCCCCTCTTCGAAAACTGGCATTTTCAGCTTTCTGGCCCTCGTGTCCACCCCGTATGCCCTATTCCCCCCATGGCCTCCTCTGTCCCAGGCAATGGGATCTTCCCAAGTTCCTCTCTCTCCATATCGGGGCTCATCATCTCTCCTCGGCCGTCGATAGCCATCTTCCCCTCGCGCTCCACCATGGTGGTTATGGATCCCCCATGGCCGGTCCACTGGGTCGGGCCTCCGACGTCGCCAATCATCTTCTCTTCCTTCCCGGAAGTCTCTCCTTCTGTCATGTTCTTCTCGCCTGATGGACTCCCGAGGTGGCATCCTCCCGTTGCTGTTAAGCAGTTCCACCTCCTCTTCCTCTTCTGGATTCACCTTCTCCTTACCCCTGCTTCCACTACCTTCTCCTCTTTCCTCCGCTGGCACAGCTCTTGCTTGCCCTTCCAACAACTTTTTCATCATCTCCTCCAATGCCATGAATTTCCCTTCCATATTCTCACTCAACGTCGCCATCTTCTCCTCCAGATCCGCCTTAAATTGACCCACTTCGGTCTCCAAGACTTCTACACGTTTAGATGCCATGGGAACCAAAAAATGGTCTCTGGATCCCTTCCGAAAGGCAAAAATCTGCAGCGAAACAGTGGAAAACAGCCCCCCACCATCCGGATCTTCGCTCTGATACCAATTTGATAGGTACCACTTGAATATTCCAAGTGATTCCTATCGGATCTTCGCCAAGACACAAATATTCCGCTGTTTTCAATAGAAAAACAGCCACCAATAGTGGAAAAACTGAGAAAATAGGGAGAGAACGTTGGAAAAACAATAGCAACAATTGTATTCCACTAGTAGACGATCAAACCCAAAGCAAGATACAATGTTCTTCAATTCGAGAGGAAGAACAACTCTCCCACAATCTCCGGCAACGCCAAGAGCCCAAGCAAGAAACCCTAGAACACAAAACTCTTTTCAAAAACAAAATGATAACCTAATTCCTCTCATAACTCCCTATTAATACAATCTAATACAAAATAAAAGCAAAAGGACTTCTCTACCCTTCCTTCTCCCTCCAAAAACACTTAAACCATGTTTGAATTTCAAGTGGACCCCACCCCAGCCCCCTTTCCTCCTTCCGCCTGGTCCCTGGCCCGTCTCCGCCGGGAGAAAACCCGGACCGGCTGGGCCAGTCTAGGTTGAGCCGGTCCATGCTGGACCGGCATAACAGAAGACTCAAATATCTTATCAAGTTCTAGCTTTAATCCTTTTTTTTTTTAAGCTTTAATCCTTATATGAAAATCTTCAAGTTATGGATTTCAGTTGGTAAATTTTCTCTAATCCATTCAAGGAATCTTTAGAAGTTTATTCAGTTCAAAGCACACACCTTTAAATGGCACACTTTTGAAACCCAATGTGAAATGTATGTCCTGAATTTCTCTTCAAGTAGCTGCTATCATCAAATTAACATGCGTTCAAGAAAGCATCAACTTACCAACCAGAGTGAACCATAGTGTCGAACTCTTAAAATGCAGATTATGTAGCTATAGGTATTTTGAAATACTGGGAACGACAGCTGATGAGTTGCTATATTTCAACTAATTATGTCATTTAACTGGTGACAACTGTAATACTTGTATACCCATGAACCATATAAGCAACGGGAGCAGCAAGACCATAAGTCATGTGCAAATTTATGGAGAGGAGTCAGAATTAGATATTATAACACATTTATGAAGAAATTTAAGGCAAATACTAATACAAGAAGGAATAACTAAACAAAAAACTATGAAACCAAATCTTTTAAATCATTAAAGCGCATTCAACAAAGAGATAGTAGTAAGGATTTAGTGAAGTGTATTAAGGATGCAGATCAAAAAGTACTTTTCTTAGAAAATGATATTCAACAAAGGTGGATGAAATATTTTGCTAAACGTTTTAATGAAAAATGTGAAAATACGATTGACTTTAGTGATCTTAGCACCCTAAATGAAAGTAAAGATATCTGTATTTATCGGCATATTAGTAAAACCGAAGTTAGAGAGGCTTTGAAGAAAATGAAATGGGAAAAGCTGTTGGACCTAATGATATTCCAATAGAGGTGTGGAAATGCTTAGAAGATGAAGGAATTTATTGGCTTACTAAACTTTTTTAATATTGTTTTAAAGACTAAAAAGATGTCAGATGAGATGAGATGAGAATGAGTGTTTTAATTCCTATTTTTAGCAATAAAGGTGATGCACAAGTTTGCGTAGATTATAGAGGAATTAAGTTAATTTGTCATACTTTAAAACTTTGGAAGCGAGTTATGGAGCGTAAGTTGTAGTGTGATACTAATGTTTCTCAAAATCAATTTGGATTCATGTCGGGTAGGTCTACTATGGAAGCCATTCATTTATTGAGAGGTTTGAAGGAACAATATAGAGAGAATAAGGAGGATCTACATATGATATTTATCGATTTAGAGAAAGGATATGATAAAGTTTCAAGAGAAGTGCTATGGAGAGTTCTTGAAAAGGAAGGAGTTAATAACGCTTATATTCAAATCAATAAAGATATGTATGCAGGAGCTATTACTTGTGTTCAAACACAAGGTAGTTTGACCAAGTATTTTCCTATTTCGGTTGGATTACATCAAGGATCAACCTTAAGCCCATATTTTTTTGCTTTAGTCATGGATGTTCTCACTAGACATTTGCAAGAGGGTGTACCTTGGTGTATGTTTTTTGTTGATGATATTCTTCTTGTTGATAAAACTAGAGAGGAAGTTGAAGGTAAACTTGAATTATGGAGGTCAAGTTTAGAGTCTAAAGGTTTTCACTTGAGTAGATCAAAAACTGAACATATGGAGTGTAATTTTAATAGTAATTGACCTAGCGATGAAATTGTGATTTTGGGCGACCAAGTCATTAATAAGAGTACATGTTCTAGATATCTTGGATCTATTGTTCAGAGTGATGGTGAAATAGATGGGGATATTATCAACAGAATTCAAGTTGGATGGTTGACGTGGAGGAATGCATCGAGCTTGTTGTGTGATAGAAAAGTCCCCCTCAAACTTAAGGGAAAATTCTATAAGATGGTGGTGAAACCTGCAATGCTTTATGGTGTCGAATGTTGGCCATTAAAAGAGAAGCATAACACTAAGTTAAGTGTTCTAGAGATGAGGATCTTCAGGTGGATGAGTGGCTTTACTCTTAGAGATAGGATACGAAATGAGCATATTCGTGAAAAGGTTGGTGTAGCACCAGTGGAAGATAAGATTAGAGAGAGTCACCTTAGATGGTTTGGCCACATAAAATGGCGGCCTTCCGATGACCCGGTTAGGAAAGTAAAGGTATTAGATTTGACTTATGTTAAGAATGGTAGAGGTAGACCTAAAAAGACTTGGTTAGAGAATATTAGAAATGATCTTTTCTTATTAGATTTAAACGAGAATTTGACTTTTGACAGGACATAATGAAGAAAAAGGATACATGTAGCCGACCCCACATAGTGGGAAAAAGGCTTGATGTTGTTGTTGTTGTAAACGCATTCAACATAACAAACTCAAACACTTATGTTCAACCGAAACAAACATCCTACCGATTTCTAGCTGATAACACTCCATAAGGAATGAAATAAATATATGCAAGCTAGACAAAAACAATTGCACTATATATCCAATGAAAACAAATCATTAGTGTCTACATAGATATCTGTAAAGTTCATTTAAAAACAAACGGCATATGAAGCCATGTAAATCACCACTTTTATTAATTATATGCATAAAAACATTTGCAAAACGTGTTTAAATATATTTAATTTCTTACCTGTACGGAATGTGCTGGTGAGTTGAAGAATCCCTGTACTTTTTAGCAAGACCAAAATCAATAATGTAAACCTAAATGAAATGCAGTTGAAAAAAGAAATGAGTGAGATAAATGACAAGTGCTGAATTAAGGAAATGTAGGAGGCCAACTTGTTAGGTACCTGATTAGCACGTCTACCCAAACCCATTAGAAAATTATCTGGTTTTATGTCTCGATGCAGAAAAGATTTTCCATGTACATATTCCACTCTATTGATCTAACAAAGTGTCAACAAGTACTATTAGAATAAGCCATCTTAAAAGCACCATAAAAGGAAAAAAAAAAGCATAGTAAGCATGTGGTAAATAAATACCATCTGATCTGCAAGCATAAGAACAGACTTCAAAGAAAGCTTTCTGCTACAGAAGTTAAAAAGGTCTTCAAGGCTTGGTCCCAATAAGTCCATCACAAGCACATTGTAGTCACCTTCTACACCAAACCATCTTACATTCGGAATTCCCGCTACCAAAATTAGATGAAAATTTCAGCACCATAGGACTCAAGCATCTAAAAGACAGATAGAAAACATAACACTTACTTCCTCCTTGCAAAATCCTATACAGTTTTGACTCATATAACAGTTGGGGATGCTTGGTCTTGACATTTTCCTGAGACAAAAAGATGTAAAATCCAATAATTTTGGCCACAACCAAAACTTAGATGATGACCATATCCTTTCAAAAGTATCGTTTAAAATTTTCCTAGTCAATCTTTCGCTAACCTAATTCAGTGAGGATAACTATCCAATAATGGTTATTTATTAATAATTGGAAGAACGAGTACTAAGTTCCCAATGCTAGAAGGAGAAAGGAGCATAGTTGATTTGCAATAGACCAATCATATTGCAGAAACACCTTTCAGTAATAAAGGTAAAATCACAGCTCTAACTTCCTTTCATTTTTCTCAAATTACTTAAGCTGGTTGAAGTTATGAGTGCATTTTTCTTCTTTCCTAAGTGCTAATTATGCTAATCACAAAAATGGCAACGCACATAAAAGTAAAATACACATTGCAAAGCAGTGATCAAAATGTCACAAGAAGATTCAGTTAGGAAACGAAGATAGTCATTATCTTCTGACTAAACTGGTTACAGAATATCAGAACAATGGCCTGAGAATATACTAAAGGAAGAGCCTGGCCAGCAAAAAATTTCTCAATTAACTGACACACCAGGATTCTAAACCTCCAGAACAAAAAAAAAATTCCTAACAAGATTCTGCCAGACATAAATTTTTTTAAAGAAGTATTATAATCATGGGAAACATATAAGGAAGAAGTGACCTGAATCCTTAAAGAAAATCACTAATAAGTTAGTATTCTTCAAAGAAACTTAAAGGGCATGTATTTTAAAAAAATAAAAATGCTTAAGGAAGCTGGGCTAACAGCATGCTTAAAATATATAGAAATGAAATTCAAGTTCTTGGCTGGCTAATAAACTCATTGAACCAGCCCCTTATACAGGATACGGCAGTTCTTATCAACGGAAATGGACTACAGCGCCTAGGAGATAAACGACATTATCAGCATTTTCATGCTCATAAAAACCTAATTTACAATTAATGGCTACCTATGCCTAGCCAACTGCTGCTTTGTCAAACAAATTATATAACAAAAGCTGCATAAAGTTCCACGAGCCAGGGAATGCATAAATTTTAAACAATGAAGGTTGAAATGGCTCTCCGTGCTTAATCTCATCCAACAGTGGAAGAAAATGTACATAAGACTAAGCAAGACAATAATACAAAACATTGCGAGCAGCCAAAATGTCATTTTGAACCAACCAACCCACCAGCTTAATAGCAACCTCTTCGTTCGTTTGCACATTAGTACCTGAAAGAAAGAAAAATGCCGCAGCAATCAAAAGGCCAGATAAAAACATAATTTCTCAAACATCATCTAACAGCATTTCAAAGAAGACAATTATAAATACCCAAGTAGATCTCCCCAAAAGAGCCGCTTCCGATCTTGCGGCCGAGGCGAAACTTGTTGGCTACACGAGGCTCCATCAGAAACCCCAATCTTCACCGCCAAATCCAAGCCTTAAGTCAACAGAGAAACTCCTCCCACGACGAAAAAGCTCTAGCCTTATCGTTTCTGACAATAAACCGAGAAAGCTAAGGTACGACCACTAGGATTCAGGTCACCAATCATCGTCCCAGTAAATCGTCCGTGGATTCGAATAGATTGGTCGATTAGCCGATAAACTAAACCAAAAGATGGGAGATCGAACAATCCGAGAATCGCGAAAGGGGGCAGATGCTTGCCCTATTTTCCGGGCTAGGGTTCGGCTCGAATAGAATGCCGAAGGAGGAGAGATATCGGGAGAAGATACATGGGCAAAGGAGGAGACGTTTGCCTTAAGCGAGCCAGCAATCTTGGAGCTGGGCTTTTGTTGCAAAACTTTACCCCCTTCGAAATGCACTGTTTCGTGCAAGGGACAAATCGATAAGAGGAAAGATTTTAACTACCTATCATTAAAATTTTGGGGCATTTATATTTATATATCACTTTATTTTATATTATTTATATATCTAATATTTAAAATATTAATTTTATATAATTATCACCTATAGAATAAATATAATGCATAGGAATGAAATATATGAGTGATACATTTAATATTAAATTAAATTTGTATATGGGTGATAGACATATAATATTAATATTTTGAGTGTTAGATATGTAAATAGCATGAAATAAAGGGATATGTATGTAAATCCCCTTAAAAAGTATCTCCTTTATACATTTAATATTTATATGATTATATATATGGCACTTAAATTTTTAAATTAAAAAATGGCTTTTATTTTAATCTCATCATTACACCACTCGATCCTATTGCCCTAATCATTATTCTCCTTCATACATCGCCCATTTCTTCATCCACATTTGCATATTATCTATGAAGTGAATCATCCATCACAACTTTTTCGTCAGTCCCATCGTTCTTTGCATACTATCTGTCATGACTTCCTTGTTGGTTTGTTAGGGCACATTCATTCTCATCGGATTCATGAATCTCATTCCCCTTTTTGTCTGTCTTTCACTCGATGCTGATCCATCTAGAGCAACTTGTTGCAACTTGCTCAAATCCTCGTTCGTGCATTGTCGTTCAGTTATTGTTAGTCCCAACAAAATTCCACAATGACTTCCTCTTCTTTTCAACATCCAGTAACATATACAAGGATTTCATGAGGGTGTTAACGGAAGTTAATATATTGATATATTGTGTAAATAGCGAAGTTTAAAGGTTAAATATGTAAATGATATAATTTTGAGTGCTACATATGCAAATCCTTCAAAGATTTTATGTTAGTACGTCATGCATTTCCTTTTCTCAAAATGATTTGTGTACCAATACTCATGGAGTCTTCATTGGTTAAGTGCATAGAGAATAAGGCTTCGTTTAAAAATTTTTGTACTAAAAAATTATGTTAGAACGTAGTAAGAATGTTGTTCCAAATGAAGCCTAAGTATTGAAAGAATATTTTTATTTTTTATTATGTCTTTCTTATTAAATGAATGATTATATCTACATAAATAATTGGCATTCACTTATATTTTATTAAATTGTTGATTGGTGTTAAATCGCTTAATGATATACATAATCTGCATTAAAAAAAAATTAGTTGTATGAATATCTATAATTTAAGTGATTGAAATGTGAATCTATATGAATTGTGGTGATAGATATTGAGAACTTCACTATAATCTTGAATAGAAGCTAGGCTATTGGTCATGGGTTTGAAGACATGCTTTGCACTTGTCGTCTAAGCTTGTTGAAGGATGTCTATTTTTGAGTATAAGCTCGTTTGTTTTTTATTATTCGAACGGGTGATAATAAGTCTTATGTCATGTGGTCTGCTAATTAACTAAGGTTTCAATAGGAACGGCTTTTTTACTACTTTTTAAAACAATTTTTTAGTTTAAAAATTAAAATTATTATACTAAACAGGTGTTTTAAAAAGTAGTAAAAAAATCATTCCAAATGAAGCCTAAATATATATTTTAGTGTTCATTATTTTGCAAAAACAATCAAAATGATAAAGGGAATCCATTATGCAAATAAAGAAATGATATACTTTAAAGATGTTCTTAAATGTTCAAGACTTTATGATTCAATTTAAGATCATGAAGACTCCAAATAACCTCAAGGATGATAAACACATGACAAATTGATTAAAATGATTCAAAAATTATTTTCAGACATACAAAATTCATCTATAATTTTATGTTATTTAATTAGGTTAATTTTTTTTATTTTTTTTCTTATTTTCTTATTTAATTATATATGTAAAGTATGCTTAATATTATTTTTTTATGTATTTTATGATTGTTTTTAATCACCAAATAAAGAAATTATTGTATAACATCAGTCAATATAACTACCAACCTCTAATCAATATATTGACCATATCTCTGACATATGCCTATATACTCTAATTGAAGAAGAAGATATATCTTGCAGCCACTTATTCTCATTTCATATAGTACATGTGGTGTAATTGTATAAAGGTTTATATGTAAATAAGATCTTAAGTTAGATAGCCACAAATCTAAAAAAATAAAATCAAATATTATCCAAAACTTTTAGGATTAAAGTGGTTTATAGAAATTAAACTCCGCACTTAATAACAGTCCACTTATAATGTGATGTCCCCTAATCTAAATGGAAAGAATTACATCTTTTTTATCTTTTAATTAATCTACCATAGCCGCTAATTTCATTTTATAACAATTCAACCATCAAAAGCATCAATATATACATTACTATTCAAAATCCATATAAAATAATAAAAAATTCAACTTATAATATTCATCTATTACGACCCTTCTAATTACAAAAAGATAAAACAAAATAGTAAAATATAAGATAATAACCAATCATGCAAATCTGACTCTGATCAATCTCACTCAGCTACTCCATTTCTAAATTTGAAATCAATTAAATTCACATAATGAGCTTACAAAGCCCAATAGATAATCAAAACTACCAAAGCTTCCAATGTAAGATAATAATATCAATATGCATACTCATCTCAATCAATATAAAATCAAAAATCATTGGTGTGAAATCAGTAATCAATATCAATATATCAGTAGAAATCAATATGATCAGTAAAACAAAAGTGTCTCAATAAGTGTAAGAATATGTCAATATATAAGGAAATCAACTGAAGTCTATAAAGTAATATAATGTGTCATACATGAAAACACATGTCGAGTATCTGTGAATGATATTCATACTTGTTAGGCTATATGTTAATTATGTGATTTTATTTGTTTTCAAAAAAGGATAAGAATCCTATGATATGAGACTCTGAATAAGACAAAAATACAATCATGCTTCTTTCCGCTGTTTATTAATAAGTTTTAGTTAAATTGTTAAAATGAAAGACATGTAATTTTTCAACTGGTATCAAAACAATACGCTAGTAAGAATATATGAACTAAGTGTCATACAAGATAAAATGTACGTCATGAGAGCCACATCTTGAACCTTGTATGAGACAAAGTGTTACGTGATGAGAGCCACCACTTGAACTTATAGGGCTCGCCTCTTGAATTATATATGCTTGGTAGATGATTCTGGGATAAGAATGCTGATGAGGACGTCGGTTACTTAAGTCGAGGAGAATGTGAAACCCTAAGTAAAAAGAAGCTAAACTCTTAAACATAGATATGCCTTTTGGTGTAATTGTTGGAAGTTCATTAAAAAATTATGTAGTTAAGCATGTTCATCCCGAAGTAATTCTGGGATAGATAATCAACTGAGAAGTTACACCAACAAGACAAAACTATGAGGCTCTTACGCCCAAGAGGATAATACTCTCTCTCTCTCTCTCTCTCTCTCTCTCTCTCTCTCTCTCCCTCCCCCCCCTCTCGTCTTTATCCTCTTTCCTCCCTTCCCCCCTCTCCCCCCCCCCCCCCCCCCCTTATTCAAGCATGAGCATGAATCCTTCACTATGCTCATCAAAGATACCAAAAATCTATTATTTCTCAAATCAAATCACCTTATTGGTCACCAATCCCTATGTCGATTTATAATTTTCTTGTGAGGATGTCTCTAACTTTTAATTTTCATTTCCCCAAAAAAAAAACTTTCATCTTTGGGGTTTCAATGTTCATTGTCAATCACCCAACAAAGAAATTCTTCATTATGACATTGGCCAGTTCACTCCAATTTCTGCCTCTACACCTCATTGAATGAAAGAAAAAACTATATGATGACTCAGGCTTCGTTTTAACGGTTTTTAAAGAAGTTTTTTTTTTTTACTTTTTTTTAATTTAAAATTTTTATACCAAAAAATTGCTTTAGAAAGTAAAAAAGAAAAAAAAATTCTCAAATGAAGCCTTAAATTATCCTCACTTTATAGATTTCTAAAACAGCTTTTCAATATCAAAATTTTTGGATTAGAAAGTTTTGTCCTAAAAAACTGCTTTTGAAAACATTAAGAAAGTCGTCCAAAAAAAAAAACTTAACTTTGGACATAATTTTAAATTTAGCAAAAAAAAAAATAGCAATCATGATTTTTTAAAAAACAAACCGACACCTAATCCAAAACTTTAAGAATAAAATAATTGACCCTCGCATTTAACAGGGACTTTGTAATCCCATGCCCATATGTTCCATCTTCATTTTCCTTCTATCTTCTTCTTCCACCGAAGCCATTGAGATTAGCCTTTTTTTGCACTAAAAATAATATTATGAACAATATTAATACTAAAAAAACACTAGCGCAGACCAACAATAACCAATTCTAGTTTTAAGCCCAATAACTTTTCATGAACTAAACTTAGAAAAATCTCCCAGAGACTTCTTATGCAGGCTCTATTTTAAAGCAACATAAGTAATTACCATTGGATAAGAAAATGAACGGCTTAATCATTGATTAGATCATTTGAAATTAATTATATTGCAATTTGCAAAGGTTAGTTCATCTGTCCATTTATTTGTGGGGCATAATGTTATTCCATTAATTAGGATAATATCAGGTGGGGACAATGTTTCTGTACATTTAAGTTATGTCTGAAATTATTTTCAAGAGGAGAAGGAAAGTGTCACAAAAATCCCTTTCAATGATCTATTGATTTTGCTTATAATTGATGGAGTGCTTGTGGTGGTGGGATAATTGGGGTCAGATGGAGGATTTAGGGTTTTGGGAAGGTTTGATGTGGGAAAATGGAAGCTGGTTGGATTACACCAAGAAGGGGGTGTAGTAGGCATTTATTTGATTCGTTGAAAAATGAATGTAATATATTTGAAATATTTTAGAGTTTGGATAAATGTAAAATAAATGCGGAGATTTACTTTTTTTTTGAAGTAAAATGAATGCAGTATGAAATACAAAGAAAGGGTGGTCAGTGGTGGTGGTGGCAGCGACGACGGCTGGCGATGGCGGTAGATGTGGCAACAGACAATAGG